AATTTTAGAAATGTATGAGATTCTTGTATTTAAAATAGCAAAAAAATTACTAAAAATTAATAGAAAAATAATTGAAAAGTAACTTGTTATTTTTTAAATAACTACAATTGTAACATATTACTTTTCAGAAATCTGTTAAAATTTCTACGATATCAACGCATATTGTGATCACCTTGACTTCATTGAAAGTGATGTGAAATCGTGGAATAAAAAAAGAGAGAGTTAAATAGAGAGCTATGCTAAAAGCAATATAGGATAGTTGTCAATCGGATAGATTGGAAAATTTAATGTAGCATGGAAATTTTCGAGACACACAAAGATAAAAACATTTGCTATAAAAACTCTACGAAAGATCGCATATTCTCATTTGTATTTCGTATAATAATCAGTTTGTTACTCGATATGTGGGTAACGTGCCGATGAATTAATCCGAGGACAAAAGTCACGTGTCCTAGAAAGTACGAACGAACAAGGTAAGTTTTATTATATTTCGTAGTTTTATTGTGCATGAAATAGTATCTTTAGACAATGTTATTATAACTTCGGAATACGATTTGTCTTGAACTAGAAAAGTGCGATATCATTTCATCCCTTCGATCGAATAAAAATTTCACTTATAAATACATGAATTTAAAACACAGTAAGAGAATATTGCTTTGTTTAATAATAATTATATATTTTGTAATATTAGATGTACAACTTTGCTTCCGCCGTTTTCCTAGATGGCTTTAGCGGTAAGTGGTGGTCGAAATAAATAGATCATAGACGTCATACAATAAACTTGGGCATCTGTCAACATAATCCCATAGAAACATTAGTTGATTTGTGTCTGCATCATAAAGTTATTTTCGATTGAAAATGTCAGTTTACGAGCAAAATTCTCGTCATTTGCGGGAGGTTTTAATTTTTTGCTTCAATATGAAGAAATCTGCGGCTGAGACTCATCGAATGCTCTCAAATACTTATGGTGAGGCCGCTATTAGTGAAAGAACGTGTCGTGAGTGGTTTCAACGCTTCAAGAACGGTGATTTTGACGTCCAAGGTCATGCTCTGTATTTGGTGGGACCAGCTCGGCGTAGTGTATTATGAACTGTTAAAACCGACTGAAACAATCACAGGCGATCGGTATCGAACGCAATTGATGCGTTTGAGCCGAGCATTGAAAGACAAACGGCCGCAATACAACGAGAGACACGATAAAGTGATTTTGCAGCATGACAATGCTCGACCCCATGTTGCGAAAGTGGTCAAGACATACTTGGAAACGTTGAAATGGAAAGTCCTACCCCACCCGCCGTATTCTCCAGACGTTGCTCCCTCTGATTATCACTTGTTTCGATCAATGGCACACGGCCTGGCTGACCAGCACTTCCGGTCTTATGAAGAAGTAAAAAATTGGATCGATTCGTGGATAGCTTCAAAAGATGACCAGTTTTTTCGTACGCTACCCGAAAGATGGGAGAAAATAGTGGCCAGCAATACTTTGAATCATAAATGTATAACCAGTTTTTTACAATAAAGCCTCGAATTTCGGAAAAAAAACGGCGGAAGCAAAGTTGTACACCTAATATAACCAGTTTTTTACAATAAAGCCTCGAATTTCGGAAAAAAACGGTGAAAGCAAAGTTGTACACCTAATAAAATTGTACTTATTATTTGCATAAGAAAGTAATTCAAATTTTCTAATAATTAATTCGTAACAGTATTATGAAGAAATGACGAATCTTACATTCCATAATCGAAGTTTGCATGCGCGACAACACACGTGTGCATTCTATAGATAGTGCATCACGCATTAATTTATCTCACATATCGAGTGCAGTGGACTGTGGCGCGTGCATCTTCTAACTGCAATAATTTATTTCTAACAAGTCATCAAGAGAGTTTGTATCGTCATTTATTGCCCACATTAAGCTTATATGGATGCTGTCTGCGTCACATAAAATTGGAGTACAAAGATCCATTTTGATCAATTACACTGTTCGACAAAAAGTCATTTTTTTTCTTTTTGAAATGCTATAGTACATTCCTCAAAGATTTTTTCGCGATGTTAGCAGAATTTTTGTAGCACATCAGAATATGAGTAAATCGAGGTAAAATATTTGTGGCCATTTTCACAACATTTTTATAATGGCATAATAAAATCTTGTTTTTAAATAAAATCTACAGCACATAAAATGCAGTTCAGCAAGAACTTTCAAATAAATTTTATGATTATACGACTTATTTTCATCAAGTTAAATTATTTGAATTTTTGTAAAAAAAATAAATTTCACAATTTAACAAAAAAAACTTTTTTTCTCTTTGAAATGTTGTGATATTAATTATACATATTAGAAAGATTTATTTCTGCTAAACAGGATGCTATCGTCAGAAATTTTAATTTTTTAGTAAATTGAAATATAATAACAAATTGGAATGATTTTTAATCTTCACTCCAATATTAAAAATCCTGATACACAAATTCTGATGACAGCATCATTACAAAAAAAAAATCTTTGATGTATGTACTATGATACTTCGGAGAAAATTTAATTATTGAATAGTGTTATACATGTTTACCAATCATGTATGTCGGAAAAATATCTAATCGATTTATGGTTTTATTATTTTTATAATTACAGAATGGACCCAATTCATTATAAATAGGGAAGTGGGGTAAAATTATGCGCAGTGGTTAATTGTGCACATTCTTTAATACTTTTTCGATAGATGGAGATGCTACCGCGGGGAAACTTTTAGTTAGAGGTATTTAGGATACAATTATAACTTATATAATTTAAAAGTGTAATTAACAGCCTTAGAACATATAAACTGAAAAGGCCATAGGTGACTGTCAATGACATCAACATCTATCCTTTTCTAAATGTTTGTGTAAGTATAGTCTTACTTCGTACATAATTTTAAGCCAAGCTCTAAGGTTATGTATTGAATTGATTTAAATTATATAAATTATATAAAATATATGTATATTTTAAATGTATAGTTATAATCAACAACGACGATAATTTGATAGCTGGGAACATTTTTTTCTATCATTTTCAAATTTCAAATAACATTTTGATAACTATTCTATATTTTAAGTTCGAATTACCCGGTATCATCACGCGCAAGCGCCCAGCAAACAAGCTTCAGATAAGAACAGATAGATTTTGGAGACACTTTTATTACATTGGTTTATTACATTGGTTACATACGATATGGCCCTTCCAGTATGTATGTTCTAAGTTAACAGCCAAAGAGAGAAAAAGTAAAATTGTATATTTTAAGAATAATTTTGACATCTAGAAAATAAGACAGTAAATCCGTATCCTTAATTTGTTTATTTAATCATGCATATTACTAAAATATGTTATTACGTGCGTCTTTTGAACTATTATTCATTGAGCTAAATTAAAAAGTTTTTGCGTAATCATTTCTTATCGAGTTAGTTTGGCAAATGCATTTTGAAATATACACAATACTCGTCTTGAATATGACTAGCATTGTTTTTTTTTTCGTTTTTTTCTTTGTATTATTTCAGATCTTCATAAATATACATAAGACTCAGTTACAATTTATTCTCCAATTTTATTATTTTTTTAAATTTTGTATTAATTTTGTATTAATATATTGGTTTAATATATATATTTCCATTACATTTGTTTAAAAAATATGTTGTTATTTTTTCATTTTATCAATATTCCATAGAACATTAATTTTATTTATTTCTTACAATTTTTTTTGTTTTGCGCATAATTACCGAATCTATACGCACAATTACACGAAACTTTTTCGCTTTGACTTTTTTTACATTTTGTTAAATACATTATCAAATGAAGAATCATTCAATATGAAAATCGTGAATAATCGATAGAAGAATGTTCATATATATAGCTTATAATTCTATAGCATATAATCCTCTCCACTTTCCTCTAATTGCTCAATTTTTAATGTTTGATTTTGAAAACTGTAATTTAAATAAGAAATTATTTACATGTATTTTCAATTTGTTTTTGCTCCATTTTAAAAAATATAAAACTTTATGTTTATTTTTTATATTTCGAATAGTTATTCGACTGAATAACTTGATTTTAGAATTATCAATTTTTTTTCTTTACAGGTGTTTTTGATTATCTTCTCTACATCTTGCGTAAGGAGTATTGAATTAAATTACTCGGTTTTCCTTTGTTGTATCCCAATAATGAGTAACAACAAAGTCGAAAGCCGACCGAAAGGCGGCGCGCTTCGTCTCGATGCAACATCAGCAACGATATCGAAGCCACTTTGTAGTAACAACACCATTTCCGCTCTTCTCTGTTTTACCTGCGGTGCTTGCTTTATCTTGAGTTTAATTTGCACCTGTCTGGCAATATTAGTCGTTTTGCTAAACCAGACTGTCGAGGCAACGAGCTACAGTCGACACGGTGAGGATACGAAAAATTCAACTGTTATCAGTGCCAAAGTGGAGTAATTTCTACTGAATGTGATAAAAAATTATCATGTTAATATGTCGTGCTTATTAATTACATCTCAGGTCCACAAGTTTCTGAAAAAAGAAATTGTTCCATAAGAAAAAGACAAAACTGCTCGCGAAATGCAAATATATTTATAATGCGTTTAACGAAAGTTTAATCAACGAGTTATCACTTTGTCAACTCAATCGGCAAGGTGACATAAGCTTCTGTCCCAGGCCGGATTCACACCTTGACGGAAAAACGGAAGCCAATCAGAACTCGCGGGAAGACAGATGCAGACAAGCGAAATGTATCGCCTACTACTACTGCGAGTTCCGATTGGCTTCCGCTTTTCCGCTTTCCACTTTTCCGTCAAGATGTGAACCCGGCCTCACATGAGTCTCATAATTACTTGGCGGTAAATTTAAAAGTGCCTTTGTAGATGATATTCTCTTACGTGTGGAACAATAAAATAACATTTTTCTATATTTTTAAAATTTATTGAAGTCTTTTTTTGGAAAATATACAAGTCATTCTATTACTGAAAATAGATTTTTTGATACTTCTTCAACAAATAATTATAATAAATTTTATCCGCAGATGATTTGCCTGTATTACAATATAGTTTCAAGAAAATATAAAACTTATGTTTATAAGAATAATAATAAAGAATATTAACAGATAGAAAAATTTATTTAAAAATTTTTATATTTTTAAAAAAGAAGTACAATTTAAGTTAATAGATTATGAATATAGAAATTACGATTATTAGAAATTACTATAGTAAACTGTCACTATAGTAAACTGTTACTCTATAAAATTCTTCCGTTGAAAAAAATTTCATATTATCAGATTTATTATTTTGACAGATAATTTTCGAGATATCAAAAGTTTTTTTGAAAAACATTTGAAGTTCAGTTATCGATTAGACATGTAGACATTCATATGTCCATGAACTATTTGAAGTAGAAAGTAGGAAGGAAACTTATATGAACCAAAGCAGTTAAACGGTGCATATATTGTTTACATTTACTACTACAATTACAAAAGTATAAATATATATAAATATGTTACATATTCAACTCGGGTTTTTGTTCTCTTTAGTATTTATTGATAATGTGAAGTGATAATCAAGTTTCAATTGAATCTTCTATTCATAATCGCAGCCTAATACTCCGATTTCAACAGTCAAGTGTTTAAAATAATTAGAATCGTCATGTTAAAGTACTTAATACGTATACAAATAGATAAAAGATAAGATTTTAAAAGATGTGATGACTGTAATAGCCATGTTAACAGAATGTAAATGTATTTAAAGACAAAAAGTGAATGTCCGTTCTATGCTCCGATTTCATGATCAGCTGATCGGGAAGAAACTTGTGCCTAAAAAATGCTTTGTGTTTTACAGCAGTAATGTGTAATACCAATAATTTAAATTTAGCAAATATTTGATGTTTGTAATATAACGCAAATATTACTTTACTATACTTACTACTGATCATCCAAAATAACATTACTTTCCAAAAATATTTTATTCGGATCCGATTTGCATGGTTATAACTCTCTTTGAACTTCTAGGCTGAATCAAACACTAGCTAAATTTTGTTTTCAATCTATATTGCGGAATAATAGCCGGCATTTTATTCCCTTATTGGTTACATCAACATGTAAGATTAATCAAACATGATATCAGTCAAATAAAGATTTTAAGATTTATCTGCGTGCAACGTAATGATTATTTATAGATAACTATTACATATATTAATTCTGTTTGTAGATTCGAATAGACCAGAGGCATATACAATAATGTTTGATCCTGATGAAAGCTTGAGATTGCCAAAAGAAGTCGTACCTATTCATTATGACCTCTATTTGCATCCAAAACTTAAAGAAAGTACATTTTCCGGAAAGGTGACCATTCTTATTGATGTCAAGCAGGACAACAATAGGACATCCATAGCTCTTCATCAAAAAGATCTCAACATTACATCTGTAAAATTAATAACATATGGACTAGATGAAGACTATGAAATTAATATTTCTTCCATCAGCAAGCCTATTAAATATGAAATTTTTATGATAACAACTGAAAACGATATTAAATCTGGATTATATAACTTGAGCCTGGAATTTGATGGAAGTCTCAAAGATAAAATAGTTGGATTTTATAACAGCAAATATCAGTATAAGACTGAAAAAATTAATGAAACCAGGTAATATAAATTTTTTATTTTACTAAATAAAAAATGCACAAATTTTGTAATAAATTTAAATAATTTCTTATTCATTAATATAGTAAAATAAATTATAATATATTGTATATATTTTTTTAATGAATAGGTACATTGCAACTACCAAATTCGAGCCAACTTATGCTAGACAAGCTTTCCCGTGTTTCGATGAACCCAATTTTAAGGCAGAATTTTCGATAAAACTGGTTCATCCTATGAATGATTGCTATAGTGCCTTATCCAATATGGATGTAAAGGTACGCGATAATTTTTGACGGTAATAATTATTACCTTTTTCGAAAAACTGAAATTATTAAACAGTGTATTGAGGAATTATTTTTATTTTAGAGTACGCAACTACATACACCGGAACGTGATCTAGCAACAGTGACTTTCACAAAAACTGTGCCCATGTCCACGTACCTAGCTTGTTTTATTATCAGTGACTTTGTTGGTACAAGTAGAATGGCGAATGGCTTAAATGATCGAAAATTTCCGATCACTGTCTATACTACAAGACTACAATCGAAAGAGAAAAGAGATTTTGCTTTGGATATTGGCGTGAAAGCTATCGAATATTATATAAACTTATTCAACATAGATTATCCATTACCAAAACTCGGTAAATATGCAAAAATAATTTGCATGAAAAAAGAATAATTGATTGAAATAAAGTTAAATTTGTTATACATGTTTAACGGTCTCAATGGATTTATTCTTAAATGTACACACACACACACACACACACACACACACACACACACACATAAAATTTTATATATTTATTTAGATTATTTATTTATTTATACAGATATGGCTGGCATTCCCGATTTTATATCCGGCGCCATGGAAAATTGGGGTTTAGTGACTTACAGAGAAACAAGAATGCTTTATGATGACAATAGTAACTCCATTTATGATAAGCGTGACGTCATTAACGTAATCTGTCACGAATTGGCACACATGTGGTTTGGAAATCTAGGTAAATATTTTATATCAATTAACTGTGAATTAATAAAAACATTAGACATACTTTTTTGCAGTCACCATGAAGTGGTGGAATGATTTATGGCTCAACGAAGGTTTTGCTACATTCATGGCATCTAAATGTTCAGATGCAATTCTACCACATCAAGGATATGTTAGTTTTTAAATAATAATTTAATTAAACATTGATATAAATATTTAAAATATAATATTACACATTTATAATATTTAATATTGTTTTCAGATGGAGGAATTTCCTATTGAAGTAATGCAGAAAGTTTTTGTTCCTGACTCAAAGTTGAGCTCTCATCCTATAATTTATAATGTCCAAAATGCAGACGATATTACATCATTTTTTGATGGAATATCTTATAAAAAGGTACATGAATATAATATATTGTTTGATAATTTTTGCACTTTTTATTAATCTTGTATTGTCTTTGTATTGTCTTGTATTTATTTTAAAAAATGTCTATTTTAGGGAGCATCTATAATCCGCATGATGGAGAACTTCTTTGGATCTAATGTCTTCTTCAGTGCAATTAGTACCTATTTAAATAAGTACGCTTATGAGAATGCAGAGACGGCGGATCTCTTCGAAGTTTTGCAAGATGCAGTTGGAAACAAATTAAATGTAACAGCTATAATGGATACTTGGACACGACAAGAAGGCTTTCCTGTTGTTAATGTGAAAAAGTCTGGAAACAATTATACATTAACTCAAAAACGATTTTTGGACGATCAAGATGCCAAATCCGATCCTTCAAAATCAAGTTATGGGTGAGTTGCTTTATCTCGAGGTGTTAATTGACAAACTTATTTCAAAATTACATCTTACAGATATCGATGGACCATACCTATTGTTTATATCACTAACAGAAACGAAGTATCTACTCTTGTATGGTTTGACAAGGATGCAAATGAAGGTTTCAATTTTAATTATATAATTTACAATCTTTCTGACGAATTATTACTATTTTCTCTTAATGTAAAATTCTATTTTACAGTGGTGATCGAAGTCGACGAACGTACGAAATGGTTTAAATTAAATGCTGGTCAAGTTGGCTTCTATCGAGTTAATTATAACGAGGAATGGGAAACATTCAATGAATTACTTCGGTCTCACCATACGGTAAAGCATCACGTAATTTTTTTATTTAATACAGGAATTACAATAAATAAAAATTATGATTTACAGATTATTTTTTATTGACAGATTAAAAAACATTATTCTTAATTTTTTTTGGAAGGTTTACTTTATTATATTATTTCTGTTTTTTATTGCAGAAAATATCAATGTTGGATCGAGCGAATCTTTTGGATGATTTGTTTAGTTTAGCTGAGGCTGGTGAGATCGAATACGACACTGTGTTGAATATAAGTATGTATCTCACCGAGGAGTATCATTGTCTTCCATGGGCGGTTGCAAAGTCGAAACTGATGACGATATATACTCTGTTAACTTCCTCGACTGAACCATTTATTGCAAACACGTTTCAAGTAATGTCAATCGAAGTATTACAAATTATTGTCTGATACCATTACAAATATTATTTTTACATAATCCATTTTAGTCTTTCGTCTCGATATTGGTAGACACAATCTATAAGGATGTAACTTGGACCGTCGATGATGCAATTGAAGAAGATATACCGCACATTGATAATAAAGTGCGACCGATGGTAATCGAATTGGCCTGTGCAATGAATTCACCTGAATGCTTAAAAAAAGCCGGAGAGCTTTTTAAAGAATGGCTGATAGAAGAGAAGCCGCAGCATCCTGATATTCGCGAATTAGTTTATTACTATGGTTGGTCTATCTAATGTGATCCATTGCCTATATATTATTTGGGTGTCAAGAAATTTTAATGGAACGCAAAATTTTTTATTAGGTATGCGCTACCATTCGGATGCGAGCGAATGGAGTGTCATGTTCGAAAGATTTAAAGACGAGACTGATCCTGGTGAAAAGAATAAAATAATGGCAGGATTAGCAGGGATACAATCTATTGATGTTTTAAAGGAGTTAGTATTAAATCTACTCTCGTTAATTTTTAAAATATACTTTTTATTAAAAGTTAGATAATATAATTTAATTCCTTTTTTAGATATATTATCAGAGCAACTGATGAAAGATTTGTCCGCGCTCAAGATTTCTTGAAATGCTTGATTATAATTTCCAAAAATCCCGATGGTACATCATTGGTGTGGGATTGGGTACGCGAAAACTGGGAATTCTTGGTGAACAGATATACGTTGAATGATCGATATCTCGGTGATCTTATACCATCCATTACAAGTTCATTTGCCACACAAACGAAGCTGGACGAGATAAAAACTTTCTTTGAGAAATATCCTGAAGCCGGTGCTGGTGCGGACGGTCGAGCCAAAACTCTCGAAACAGTCTCGAAGAATATCAAATGGCTTGCTAAAAATACTAAAAAATTCGATAAATGGTTCTCAGAAAACTGGCCGTTTAATAAGACCTGTTAAACATACAAAAGTATACAAGATAAATGAAAAAGAAGAAAGACTTAGTACATACCGATTTTTAACAGTTATGCATAAAGGCAATCTATGCATTAACTGCTAAAAACTGATATCCTGAAAATAATTAATTTGGTTTTTGTATGTTAATTACTGTAAAGAAAAAGAAACTGTTACTAATAAGAACATTAAAAATTTTTTTCGCAAAAAAATTGTATTCAATACGCTGAAATTATATTGCGTATCAAATTTGTTCTGTGACGTAATCAATAATTGTGGCAGCAGTTATTAAATACGCTAAATACGAAGGTGCATAAATACCAATACGCATTTGTACGAAGCATATGCCTTTTATGCAACACATTTATAAATCTTGATATTGAAATATATATAACTTTATAGAAATAATTTTGCGATTAAATACAGCACGTTTATATTGTTAACTAGTAGTGATTTTTTTCCCTAGTTGTGAATCTTTGATTGTCCTATAAAGTCCATTCTACAATTGCGTAAGCATGTAAATGATTATACTTGTTCTTCTCAATTGTAAATGATCAATTTTTGTAATTATCAACTTTTGTAATAATCACTTATAACTACGCAATTGTAGAATGAGCTCAGATATACGAAAATTCGTAAAGGTCAAATCTATTATGAGCTCGATCGTGTTACGTTTTATTTTTCTCATAAGTAGTTTAATACACATTTGATTGACCCGTTATGATCAATAATAACGTAGAAAGGAAATGATAAAAACGTTTTAATTCATCGTAATGCGGTGCGTGAATATTCCTTGCAATACTACGCCAATACTACTCCAAATACTCTATTACACAACATATTTCTTTCTAAAAAAAATTTTTATTTATTTATAGGAAATAGATTTTTTTAATACAGATTTATTTAAAAATTTATTTGCGTAGGCGAATATGTGTTAGGCTCGTAATTAATTTTTTTTAAATTGTTGGTGCGTTTATTGCGCTGAACGGCCCTCTTTTGATTGTTATTTTTATTGTTTAAATTAGTAGATGTCTTTTAATTGAATTTGACATCTTTATTTCATTTTTATTGTTATTTAATTTTTTTATATACTGAATAAAATGATGCATCTTGTTTTAGTATCTGATAGGAAATATCGCGTACAGAATCTGTCAATGACAGTTCACGATATAACGGATATCGGTCGGCTGTGAAAACATTTTGCAAGATACGAGAGAGCTTGTTGAAAACGCAATGTAGAATTGTATGATTTTCGATTCTATTTGCGCTATCGAGAATTATTTGTATTATCCGAATAGAATCCGGAGAGAGAAACACGATACGCAAATTCGAGACATAAAACAGATTTTAAATTGTCGCATACATTGTTTAACGTTACATAAACAGAGAGGCTCTTTTACAGCGATATGACATTTCGCTCAAATGCTCGCTCGTTAAGCAACTAATCAAATATTCGGTAGCTTTATATCGCCAATGCAAATAATACGAGCGGTTTTAATCGAAGTAATATCGTGGAAAAATATTTTTTTTTATAACAGACAATTTGCGAAATTTTCTTTTATTACATATTATACTTATTTTATTATAACATTATAAATTTTTCTCTCTTGTATTTCTATAATGTTAATTTTATATGTATTTATCGAACAGGCTCTTTTTGAAAAGATACATTTTATTTATTCGATATAAACATTTCACTTTCGCATTATTCTGAATGATGCATCATTTTCTTAATATTAAATCCGATGTAATTTATAAGTTAAGTGATATCGAATAACATAATTTTGTTGTGAAGCTTTAGCTTTTAAACACCAGTTATCTTATTTAAAAAATGTTAATCGGAATGTAAATTAAATGTAAAAGAAGAGTAACAGAAACGTAAATGGAGCTTCTAAAAGATGAGAATTGAGACAAAACATAAAAAAGACTTAACCGTCTCTTTCACACTTCGTTGTTTTAATTTTCGCTAGAAGCTTTCTTTATTCTCTTTCTGTTATTCTCTTTTTCTCTTTTTATATTAACTTACACTTCATTTTTTATTTCCGCCTGAACGGATTCAATATAATTTAAATTTATATACCTTTGCTCGAAATTAATGTAATTGAACAATTTTTTTTCATTTCAAATGTCAAAATTCAAGGAATAAGATTATGTAACTTAGAATTATGTAAGGTTATTAAAAAACATTTGCCATAAACAATTGTTCACAAAATGTTAAAGAAAATGTCCGAAAAATAACAAAATTTAAATTTAATTTTAATTGACAGCATTTTTTTAACATGAGAAGTTAATGCAAGTTTAAATTCCGGCAAATAACTATAATTTGAATGTACAATTTCTTCATTCGTATCGAACGTTAATAGAGATTGTCATCATTTCTTCTCAATAAAAATATCGGTTCGTGCTCGATTAGCGCCTGTCTTGTAAGAAAAGGATCTATCTTTTTTATTGGAACGAATATCACATATTCTCTAAATGATCACATAAAATTATCTCTCTTTTCTTCATAATAAACCATTAGTAATAGAATCTGGCAAGTTTGAAGAGGAATCAATTTTTTTTTTTGCGAAAGTATTGGGAATATTCTTGAAGTTATAAACAGTTAATGAAAATAAAAAGTAAGTAAAATAACAAACTAAAACTGCAGAGATGCACAACAGTTATGAAACTTTCTTGTAATTTATGTCTTATTTAAGTTTAAGAAAATTCTAAAGTGATAGAATTATCGAACATTACAAATTAGAAAGTACTTTAAATTAAAAAAAGTTAAACTTAAATTTTCAAGATTAAATCAAAGAATGTGTGAATTAATTTGAGCCGAGCATTAGTTATATATGTACGAAATTATTTTTTGTTTGCTTATTTTAATTGTGTAAAAGGATTTTATAATTTGTACAGTTCACTTTCTAACTTGTATTTTAATAATTTTGTCACTTTAGGATCTCCTTAATAAATATTAATTTATTTCAACGCAAAATTATTTTAATTAAAAATATTTACGTAAACAAAAATACATGAAAATATTTAATACTAAAGATTACAAAATTATTAATATGATGATTATTAAAGAATCATTAACTTTAATATGTCAATTATTGATTTGAAATGGAGGATGTTTTGTATGCCTTTATCCAATGATTTGTTTATATAAACAGATATGTGCTTGATAGTTTTCATATAGGTGCACATGTGTTGTTGGATTAGCATTGGGTGTGTTGCGCAATAAATCGTTTGAGCGATTAAATATTTCCGACAATTCACTGCGTGAGTAGCTTTTGATCGAACTTTTTTACGCATTGCGATTAACAAAAATTGATTCTCATACATTTATAATATTTAGCTAAACTATTACTATTACTATTACTACTAACAAGAGCAATATATTAACAATAAAATAAATGTATCTAAAAATTATATTTATTAATTAAATTAATTGCTTTTCAATTAAAGTTTTAGTAACAGTGTTTTGAAATCTAAAAGTTTAAGAAAGGTTAAAGATCTATAATTTCAATTATAAAACTATAAAATAATCGTAAAACATTACAAAATATGCATTGATTTTTATTTACAAAAAAATTGAAAGAACAGAAAAAGAAAGAAAATATATAGTGGAAACTCATATCTTCGATAATTATAGAACTTTCTTTAAAATGGTTATTTAAATATTATTTATAAATCTATTTTTCTGTAAGATTTTTTACTATGCGCTTACATTAACACGAGGAAAATCTTTAATTTTTCGGACATTTTACAAGAACATTTTTAAATGATTTTATCTCGATTATTGTATATCTGTATTAAAACAAATCGAACTTGATGAATTGAAAATATTATAACAGTTTATATAATTTAACAGCTTTTGTGCATTTATATTTCATCTTTTTTCATTGACGTCGCAGCTACGTTTGTGATGCCCTTCGAATGCGTTTATGCGTCACTTGTGGTTATGATCGTCTCCATGGGGGCTAGAAAGATTGTGATAATTCATAAGAAAAATGACGACAAGAAGAATATCATTCAAACAGTTAATATCAATTGTATTAACTCTTTTCCGTGTTTCAATTCCAGAGCATTAAAAGAAACTTCACCAAGATTCCTCTCTCATATCTCATTGTGCTCGTAGGTTGAATAAAACTATTGTCCTAGTGTGCCTTCCAACAAGCGACACAGATAATATAGTATGACACAATGAATCATTACATCCTTGTTGTTTGCCAATGTTAAACAAAGATGAGATGATCACTGTATTGTACTGTGTCGCTTGTTGAAAGGCACACTTAGTTAATCTCATCCTATTCAGTTTATAGTTTTGCTATTTTCTTTGTTCCGAATGTAAATCCTCTACAGATATTTCTCGCTAACACATGCATTCTTAAGCCTAATCTACAATGCTCTTTACTTCCTGTTGCTTTACTTTCTTTCTTATTTTTTATTTATTTTTTTTGTTTTTTTCTTTTTTATCCTGTTTCTTCATTTTCTGGCGTCCAAGATAAAAGTCGATGAATTTCGAAAGAGATAAGAAATACGTGTGATAAGAAATATGATCGATAAAATGATCATAAAAAGTGTTAAAGGCGAGGTTAAAGATAAGACGTAAATAAGATACAGGAAGCAAAGCGCATATGGTAGATTAGATTATATTTTCGGTTCTCAAATATATCCGCGATCCTCTGACATTGCTATTTAATAAACAAGTAAACATACAGCAAGAAGTCATTTTTAATTGAATTATCATCTCATGAATTTTATTCGACTCTTGGTTTTTTTTTCATATTAAAAGTCAACGTTATCAATCTTTCAAATTATCTCGTAAACCATCCACGATCAATCGTTTCAATTCTTACCTTTTTGTTCAAAAAAAGGACGTGTCAGCAAATATGTCCAACGATCAAATGATCTTATGATTCAACCAATAGTCCCCGAAGCTTGATCCATAAAAGGGGATCAATCGATGTTTCTCTAGAGGAATCCAACGAGATCTTCTTTACAATGATACTCATTATTTCAAAATGATATGACGTTTCTTTATTATTTTGAAATATTAGTCAAGTTCCATGGAATCATAGCTTCTACTTTAAAATTACGGGAAAAATATTAAGACTTTATGCTAAAAATATGAATATTATTAAGATTCAATCACAAATAAAATACAATATTTCGTGCACAATATAAAATTAGGACAAATAGAACTTTGTGAGAAATTTTTTTTCTTTGCCGTTTTTTTTCCTTTTTCGAGTAACTTAAAAGTTTTTTGATAGTAATGTTATAATAAAACATCTCTCTCTCTCTCTCTCTCTCTCTCTATATATATATATATATATATA